ACTACAGCAAGAATAAAAGTTACACCTTCTTTCTTTGCGTGAACATTTGGGCGGCGTTATGCAAATCTTCCCACATTGTGATGTAGACATGTGGGGGCGTGTTAGAACGAGCCGTTTTAGGAGGGCGTGGCTGACTCTTAACTTTTATAAAGAATATCTCTTTGGATTTGAGACTTTAGTCTTTGCAACTTTACAGATCTTCTTTATGCACCAAGAGCTTGTAACACTCCAAAGAGAAAGGAACAATTGAAATCGCATCATATGACCGCTTTAAATTAACTGAATGAGTAAAAAATAAATAATAAAATAAATAAATAAAAATGAAATTAAAATACATTCAAATTTGATTTAAATAAAAAATTAATTAAAACAATTATTAAAATTAATCAAATAAAATATAAACAAATGAATAAAATACAATAATATAAGAATACAATAGTATAATGATGAGTAGGGAAAAATTTAATAAGGTAATTTAACAGAAACAAAATATTTTCCTTAATAATATATTTGTTAATGTTTATAATAATAATTGTCTTCAAACAAGAAACTATATTGATGCCTTTTAAATTTTAGGATGGCAGTCCATCCTAAAATGTAGGTTCAGGTGTGTTTAATTAGGGTTGGAGCTGCACTCTGCAAGACTGTGGCTCTCCAGGACCGATGTTGGCTGCCCCTGACCTAAAGTAATAGCTCTCCCAGAAATTAAAATGTTCATAATGTCATATCAAACTTGTGCTGTTGTTGTTTTTTTTCCAAGGAACACAGAAGTAGACACTTGAACATGGAAACATATTAACTCGTGTCAGTTCCTCACACTAAAACATCATATGAGCTCACAAGACTTGGAATAATGCATGAATCGTGCTACTTCTGCTTTTTATGTGTCTTTAGGCTGCTATAACACTGTACAACATGCATTCATGTCAAAGCCAAACTTCTTCAGTGAAAAAGACCTCCGAGAACGCTCTCCAGATCACTGACACGGAGACTGCTGTTTCTGAATATCACTTTAACAGCGTTTCCTTCCCATCGGGCAGCCAAACCCGCCACATTGTGTCCTCTGGACATCAGGGAATGTCCTGGGACTGGTTGCCATGGAAACGGATGTTATGGGCTTTTCCTGACCATCTGGATTCAAGGTTGAGTCGAAAACAATTAACACTCCGACTATGAGCTCACTTTAACGTGCTTTATTCCTTATAGCCATGCCCTAATAACAGTGATCGAGATGAAGCTACACTAAAACAAATGGGTAACACTTTATTTTAAAGTGTTCTTCATGCACTTACTATTTTAATTGCAATAAAGTATGCATACTTACATAACAAGCCAAACCCTATTCCTGACCCTAAAGATATAGTAAGTACATGCAGTTAATTAATATTACCCAATACTTCAATGTATAATTACACTGAAACAAGGACACTAAAAGTACAATACGATCACAACACCATCTGGATTCTAGGCGTAGCAGCTCATGTTTCCAAAGTCAAAGTTAGCTAATAACACACACTTGAGTTCAGAACACACTAATGCAGAACAGCCGGTTTAGATGCAAACGTGCTTCAAGAATCTCAAACTGGAGCTCACTGCAACTACTAGAGTTTAAAGAGCAGACATATCGTGTGGTGTATCAAAGGTCGCGCACAGCAGGATAATCATTAACAGCGTTCAGAAACTTACCTGGAAAATCAGAGAAATCCCTGTGCTGGGATCATCGTGATCCGAGAGCTTCTCCTTCCACAGAAGACGAGTTCACGCACGCACGCACCGCTATCTCTCGCGCATTCCTCGCGTTCCGCGCGCACTCACCTGTCTGACGCCGCGCGAGGCCCTGGACACCCGCAGACAGACAGAGAGAGAGAGAGAGAGACAGAGACAGACAGAGAGAGAGACAGACAGAGAGAGACAGACAGAGAGAGAGAGAGAGACCTGTGCCGGCTTGATCCGCCGACGCCCCGTTTAGCTGCGTTTAGCTGCGCTTAACCAGTTGCGCAAGACGCCGCGTTCACATGGAAGAATCCACGGTGTGAGCTGAGACATGTTGCTCTTAAAAGGACGAAAGAATATGAGAGGCGGAGGAAAATGAACGCATGTTATAACTCTAGGCCTACCTGTACTTTTATAGGGCAGACCGGGGCATGTTGTCACACGTTTTTCTCAAATGAGTATTTAAAAACTAATTTTAAAAACTCAAATGGGGATTTAAAAAAAAAATGTTATAAAGCAAATGCCCTCAAAATAAACTTTTGAAAGTAAATGCAATAAAACGTTTGAACATTTTTTTCAAACAGTGTGTGGGGCAAGTTGTCACAGTGCAGCAAAATGTAAACAAAAAAATTGCAGGGATAATTCAGCAAAAACACTTTGCAACATTTTTTTGAAAAGTACTCCCGTCTTATGCACTCGTTTGAACACTTAATTGTTGAACTATGATTTAGCTATTGTGTTATTATTTTGAATTTGAGTTTGGATGACAGAATTCATTAGAATATGCTAATTAAGACCGTCTTGAATAGGGGTTTGAAACCAACATAAGAAAGGCTTAGTTTTGTCGTGGCCACAGAAATCTGAGATTAACAACATAACTGCCTTCATGATTGGTATTTGCATATTAGATTAGATTATATTATACTGCATTGTTGGTGACACAGATAACTCACTGCATTCAAATAAAGGTCTAATCATTGCTGTTTAACTACAATTCAACACATTCCATGCATGCAAACCATGCTGTCATTTACAAATTCATATTTGCGTTTGGCACTTGGGTAGTGTCAGTGTAATTAATCAGTGATAAGGATGGACTAAATATGGTTATAAGGGAACCTGAGTTTGTGTTTGGTGGAGGGGGCGTGGTCTTCGTCACAGGTGTGGGATGGGAGCTGGAGGCAGGTGGTGGAGACTCTGGGGTTGTCACGGCGACGCAGCTGCGGCACAATGCTGTGACGGAAGAGGTCAGTGGTGGGTTTGACCAGGTCAAGAGATGAGGCCAGAGAGAGCTTACGGCTCATAGTGCCAGTCGTTACTGTAGAGTTACTCTCTGAGGAGACAGAGAGTGTGATATCAGCCAGAATGACGTGTGAGGACACAGTGAAGAGTGTGTGTGTGTGTGTGTGTGTGTGTGTTCACCTTTCTCAGGCTGTATTATCTGCTGCTGTTTCTGTATTTGATTTATGATGGTTGTTCTGTGTCATCAGTCTAAGATCATCTTCTGTTACTAATAGGAGACCCTACACACACACACACACACACACACACACAGCATTTCACTATTTAAAAGAGCAGTTTACACAAAAATAAAAAATCCAAGATCAGGATGAGTTTGTTTCTTCATCAGGTTTGTAGCTAAGATCATCTTCTGTTACTAATAGGAGACCCTACACACACACACACACACACACACACACACACACACACACATACACACAGCATTTCACTATTTAAAAGAGCAGTTTACACAAAAATAAAAAATCCAAGATTAGGATGAGTTTGTTTCTTCATCAGGTTTGTAGAAATGTAGCATTGCATCAGTGTCTCAGCAATGGATGCTCTGCAGTGAATGGGTGCCGTCAGAATGAGAGCCTGATAAAAACATCACAATAATCCACAGCACTCCAGTCCATCAGTTAACATCTGGAGAAGACAAAACCTGAAACTAATCCAGCATTCAGATGTTTTTAACTAAAATCTAAATCCAGCCACATATGTGTTTAGAGCTGTTTAAACGCTGCTTGATCTGTGCAGATTTCTCTCCTGATTCACACCAGAACACCTTTTCACTGGAGGAAGCGTTATTATGGATTATGGACTCATATTTTAGTTAAAAGCGTCTTAATGCTGGATTAGTTTCAGCTTTTGTAAATCCAGCCACATATGTGTTTAGAGCCGTTTAAATGCTGCTTGATCTGTGCAGATTTCTCTCCTGATTCACACCAGAACACTGACTCACTGGAGGAAGCGTTATTATGGATTATGGACTCATATTTTAGTTAAAAGCGTCTTAATGCTGGATTAGTTTCAGCTTTTGTCTTCTCCAGATGTGAACTGATGGACTGGAGTGCTGTGGATTACTTGTGGATTATTGTGATGTTTTTATCAGCTGTTTGGACTCTCATTCTGACGGCACCCATTCACTGTAATGCTAAATTTCTCCAAATCTGATGAAGAAACAAACTAATCGGTCCCACCGATTTATTTAGTAACTAGATGTGTACATAGTATGTAACCACAGTGCAAGTACTGTCACGGAATGCCAGGAGGAAACAGGGTAAGTTCCATGTGCAGTTTATTGCAAATAATAACAGGACAAAACAGAACAAAACGTTGCAAAATGTCATCCGAAACCTGACACCGACAACACCAACCAAGAAGACAATGTAATCCAGACCCAATGACAGACAGAGTGAGCACGGTATATATAGCTGGGATAATGAGTAATTGATAACAGGTGCTACTGATCAGAACAGAATTAAAGCAGGGGACTATGGGAAATGGAGTTTAACACATACAACATAGAACAGACAGAGCGCCCTCAAGTGGCCAGTCCAGGGCACCACAAACCAAACGCGACGCAGCTGCGGCACAATGCTGTGACGGAAGAGGTCAGTGGTGGGTTTGACCAGGTCAAGAGATGAGGCCAGAGAGAGCTTACGGCTCATAGTGCCAGTCGTTACTGTAGAGTTACTCTCTGAGGAGACAGAGAGTGTGATATCAGCCAGAATGACGTGTGAGGACACAGTGAAGAGTGTGTGTGTGTGTGTGTGTGTGTGTGTTCACCTTTCTCAGGCTGTATTATCTGCTGCTGTTTCTGTATTTGATTTATGATGGTTGTTCTGTGTCATCAGTCTAAGATCATCTTCTGTTACTAATAGGAGACCCTACACACACACACACACACACACACACACACACACACACACATACACACAGCATTTCACTATTTAAAAGAGCAGTTTACACAAAAATAAAAAATCCAAGATTAGGATGAGTTTGTTTCTTCATCAGGTTTGTAGAAATGTAGCATTGCATCAGTGTCTCAGCAATGGATGCTCTGCAGTGAATGGGTGCCGTCAGAATGAGAGCCTGATAAAAACATCACAATAATCCACAGCACTCCAGTCCATCAGTTAACATCTGGAGAAGACAAAAGCTGAAACACATCCAGCATTAAGATGTTTTTAACTAAAATCTAAATCCAGCCACATATGTGTTTAGAGCCGTTTAAATGCTGCTTGATCTGTGCAGATTTCTCTCCTGATTCACACCAGAACACTGACTCACTGGAGGAAGCGTTATTATGGATTATGGACTCATATTTTAGTTAAAAGCGTCTTAATGCTGGATTAGTTTCAGCTTTTGTCTTCTTCAGATGTTAACTGATGGACTGGAGTGCTGTGGATTACTTGTGGATTATTGTGATGTTTTTATCAGCTGTTTGGACTCTCATTCTGACGGCACCCATTCACTGTAATGCTAAATTTCTCCAAATCTGATGAAGAAACAAACTCATCGGTCCCACTTTATATTAAGTGTGTACTTACATAGTAACTAGATGTGTACATAGTATGTAACCACAGTGCAAGTACACATTGTTACATAGTATCTACAGCTGTAATGTTTGTGTAACTACACATATGTAACAACCTACTGAATGGTATGTGTAAGTACAGATGTGTAACAGGACATTGGTAACGACACTTTTTGGAAATGAAAGTACAAATGTGTAACAGCACTTGTTGGTAGAGAAAGTGTTACACTTTATATTAGGTTGATCATGTAATTACTCTGATGTTACACAGCAGCGGCCAGTAAGTTAGGCTTTACAAATAAATTGTGGTTGGTGTCCGGGATGTTACACTTTATATTAAGTGGGCAGTTCCTGAGGAGTTACCATGTAAGTACACTGGCATTACAGTGGTGCAGCACCTCCACCAACTCCTTCCACTTTACATATCCCTAAACCTACCCGTCTCCACCCGCTGGATCCCATCTCCACCCCAAATGTTGTTACAAAATGTAGTTATATAATTCCTGTTACACGAGTACTAAGTGAAGTGAAAAAAGTGTTGTTACCAATGTCCTGTTACACATTTGTACTTACACAAACCATCCTGAGGGTTGTTACATGTGTGTAGTTACAGAAATGTTACAGCTCTAGATACTACACTGTGGTTACATACTACGTACACGTCTAGTTACTATGTAAGTACACAGCTGCATCAGTTCTAATGCACAGAAACACAGAGCTCATAGACTTCAAAATGCAGCTGATGCAGAAAAAGCACAAGAAATAATAGGCCTAATACAAACAATAAATAAATAAATTGCAATTAAAGCCGCGCAACCGAAATATTGACATATGTGATCTCGTTAATGCTAACTCTATGCACTTAATTTTAATTTAAAGCAATGTTGTAGAAAATGTATGTGTTAATATGCATGCACAACAGTAATGCTACTGCACTTCAAAACTGAATTGAGACGATTTAGAAAAGAAGTCGCTCCTAATCTATAATCATTGCTGTAAAGAAGTTTCTATGTGGATGTGATAGCCAAATATTGTTATATTTGTTTAGATTAAATAGTTATCGTGTTTGATTAGAGTTTCTTACAGATCAGTTCTTTTACAGATGCATTTCTGTTAAACTAAAGAATAAAAGATAGGTATTTAATTTCAGTTTAAAGTCACAAAATTAAACTTCCAGTTCATCTACTAGTGCAGCCAAATTCTCTTTTAGATTCCTACCTGTGCTGCTCGTCTTCATTCGTCTGTCTTTCTGTATGTTTTATTCATCAGTTGTTTTATCTAATATTGTTGATCTCCCCGCGTTTGAGTTCCAGGGGCCGCTGATGGAGGCACCTGAGGCGCTGCGTTCTGATTGGCTGCCGCAGCCGCTGTCCTCTCTCTCAGCCAATCACAGCGCAGGAATCTCGGTGTGAAGCGAGGGCCTCGGTCTGCAGGTTGAGACACATTCAGAGTTTCTCACAACAACATCATTTCAGTCTCAGGCCCGCGGTGTGTGAGAGATCAGCAGGTAACGACCCTGTAACTGATTCTAGTCTGGTTTGATCCCCAGGTAGCCCATATATACATGATGAATGACTGGAGTCGCTTTGAAGCGAAGAATCCGGCATGTAAATGTGAGGAGGCTATCAGTTAGTGGGGCTATTTTAGTTCTGATTAAAATCTTTATAATGCAAAAAATAAATCAATGATAAACAAAGTTAATAAACACGTTAATTAATTAAAAAATCAAATGCAAAATCGTTCAACGCTCAAAGGTGTAGTTCCATCATTACACCAGGAGGTGGCGACGAGCTAGTGACTTTAGTTGCGACCACAAACCACATGTAGCGCCCAGAACTGCTGCAGTGAGGCCTGACCTGTTGTTTATTGTTTTCTTCAAACACACTGTGTGCATGTGTGTGTACATAACACATATATGAGAAGTTACTGTACTAGAAGAACTTGTGTCCCAATAAGATTTGCACACATTCGTCTTTTGGACCATACTAGATACAATGAAACGCTAGATTTATTTATGCAGAAAGATAATAGGAGGGATCAACAAAAACGCTTCTAAATACCAGACATGAGTGAACTTTAGCATGACGGACTCGTAAAAACACACAAACAGAAGAACTGAAGATAGTTAGAGAACTGCTGCTGATTCATGATATTACAGTTTTTGCCCGTTGCTTACACACGTTTTGCTAAATTTGGCTCATCTGAAACACTTACCTGTACATATTCATGTCAAAGTTCTTTGACCCTGACACTGTTCCTCTCAAATGGGACCCTGTACAATTGCTTCATGGTCATGTTGTGCTTTACCAAGATGCGTCTGATAGTTGTAATGCTTACTTGATTTATGTTGTTGAATACTTGCCGATCTGCAAGTATTTGTTGCTGTAGCTGGTGGAGATGGATTGCATTGTTTGCTCTGACTAGGTTCACTATGGCAAGTTCCTGCTGTTGGGTGAACAGGCATTGGCGTCCCCCCCCAGTAGGTCTTCAAGCCATTCTGTAGAAAAATGCAACCACAAATTGTTCTCGTTTGCTTCTTTTTTACAGTACTGTGTATACAGAACTTTACTGTATTTACCATACACAGTACTGAAACATCTCAACACGTTATCACGGTATGTTTCACAAAACTACCACTTTAGTTGGAAAAGGAGCATTAGCCACCCTGGAATACAATACATGTGATACAGTAACGTGATATGGTACAGTACTGTAAATACTCTAGATACAGTCTGAGTAGAGTAGAGAGTAGTGTGTCTGAGTGTGTGAGTGTGTCTGTGTGTGTGTGTGTGTGTATGTGTGTGTGTGTGCATTTCCACGCAACACTGCACTGCTGCTGCTGCTCTTTGACTGCACATGCTGCGGTTAACACACATTCACACTCAGACAGAGAAACCACACACACACACACACACACACACACACACACACACACATCACAGCACAAAATTATTCCTTTAGTATCACCTTTTGTATAGATGGTAATGAAATTGGAAGACTAAAACCTGTGTATGGGGTAAAAATTATTTTTCAGAAATATTGGGAAAAAGACCATTTCAGGCATTCTACTTTAGAATTGTGGTTAATTACATCTATTCCTTGCCATTTCTTTGCAATCATGTGTGAAATTTACTAACAATTTATCTTTCAGTGTAGGTGTTCAGCTACGTAATTGTTATGATGGTGTTTCATTTTTTACATCTGGAATATATTTAAATATTATATTATTGTAGAAATGTAGCAAATTACTGTCTTATGTTCAGTTTTTATCTAAACTTTTGAAAAGAGTTTGTAAACGTGCACATTGGCCTGTAGGCCTTCTCGTTGAGTTTTGGTGGTTTTCGTGTCTGAGTGGGATAAGAATTCTACTTTTTCAATTCAATTCGAATTTGAAAGGGTTTCAAGTACTTGTAGTTTGATTATATTACATTTTAAAATGCTCATAATCAGATTACAGTTACTTTTCATGGATTACATGATTACATATTATTTACACAACGGCAGTAAATTATTCATAATATCTATCTATCTATCTATCTATCTATCTATCTATCTATCTATCTATCTATCTATCTATCTATCTATCTATCTATCTGTCTATCTATCTACGTTCAGTTTTGAGCTCAACTTTTGAACGAGTTTGTAAATATGCAAATTGGCCTGTAAGCCAACTCACTGTGTTCTGGTGGTTTTTGTGTCTGAGTGAGAAAATAATTCAGTTTGAATTTGAAAGGGTTTCTATTTTGTGCCAAAGCAATGATAAATGATCCACAGACATGCTGCTGTGTGAAAGGTTTTGAGAAATGGGTCTCACAGTGATCAGTATTGTGAATATCGGCGTGTGTGTCAGACGTGATCTGTGCGGTTCGTCTGTCTGATATTTTCTGTGTTTGACAGGTGTGTGATCTGGCCCATGCGCTCAGAGATGGAGTGTTACTCTGTCAGCTGCTCAATAACCTGCTGCCGCAGTCGGTCAACCTGCGTCAGATTAACCTGCGACCCCAGATGTCTCAGGTACAGAGAGAGAGAGTATCTGTGTGATATGGAAATCACCTGATTACCATCACCAGCTGCTGATCTTAATGGCAAATGAGTGTGTGTGTGTGTGTATGAGTG